ATAATCGCCTCGTGGAGAAGTTTGTCGACGCGTGGAAGCAGCAACAAATCGATGTCGAGATTAAGAAGAACGAGGAGGAGTCTCTCTACAAGATTAAGTAAGTACATTCATTTTATAAACTTTATTCTAAGCAATTTACCAGTGTTTTTATTTATTTTTAATTTTTTGTTGAAAATGTTTTAATTTTTACCAACAGAACAAAATGCGATGATAAAACCGAAGATGAACAAGCCGCAATTGAATTTCAATCATTATTTCCGTCTTATCACGACGCAGATTTTAATGAATTCCTTGCTAAAGATTTGGGTGATGAACCCGAGGAACAAGAGCATGTCGATGAATATGCCGGCGCCATTAAACAGGAAGACATTGAATATATTTCGCGGATTCATACTGATTTTATGTTGGCTTTCACAAAAACTGAATGGCTCAATCCAAAATCAAAGTCTCCGATTGTTGCAAGTAACGAGTTTGCTCTGCTTCATAAATTTAAACTCCTAAAACTAATTCTAAAGAAAAACGTGGAATGTTTAAGTTACACTTTGGATCGTGACTTGATTGGTACCCTTAGTATTTTACTTGCCGTGGCAAATAAATTTGGTAATGCTGATGCTTTCATCAATGAAACACCTAAAAAATACAACTTTTATAAACATTCTAATGTGGAGGAAGTAAAATTATGTTTCCATTTACTCAAAGATCTTGAAATACAAATTAATGAATTGTTGGATCAATGGCCGGAGCATCCAACGTTGAAAGCCATTATGACAATCATCAAACGCATCTTGAACTTTGATATAACAAGTCCTTTGCCACGGTTTCTCACTGGTTTGGATATATTGTTGACTAAATGTCATGAATGGGAAGAAAATGCACATTCAGGAGTGTCTTTAGCCATGCATTTCCTGCCTATAAGTCAACAAATCATCACATGGAGAAAACTTGAGATGACTAATTGGAAGTCTTCTTTAGATAATGTTTACGACAAGATGGTGTCGTCTACATACAAGTATTGGTTTTATTTATATGATGTTATGCGTGAATATATCTATGACAAAGCATTTGATGTGCCTGAATTAGTGTCATCATTACAGAAGTTTATTCTACAATCAAACATCGCTGAATTTTCAATTCGTGTGCGTTTATTATTAGCATTCCATTGTCATGCGACTTATTTAAAACCGTGCGTAGAAAGAGATTTCTTCGTTAGCATTTTATGGAATTTATATAAATATTACGAACAGTTTATTCCTAATGTATCACACAGCAAATGCGTACATTAAGAACACCAATTGAAAAGAAACTAAAGGATTATGTGAAGATTGTCAGATGGAAAGACATTTCTTACTGGGCACTAAAGGAAACTCTGGATAAGACACACAAGATTATTCATAAATACATGCGGGAGTTTGAGGCAGCAATGAAACAACCTGCGAATCAATTCATGACAAACACCAATACTTCTTATGAGAATAAATCTTGTAAAGAAGATGATGATAAAGATGATAAACGCAAGTCTCTTTCAATGGGACAAAGCATCGCATCTAAGAATTATTACACTACGGTCGTGGATAATTACATTAGTAAACTTATAATTAAACCTTTGATTGGAATTGACTCTGCCATTATGAACAACGCTTCTAGTTTCTATAACAAGATGAAGAGTTTATGTTCCAATGTGATTAATTTGTGTAAATATCCACATTTGATTAGAGATTTGGATTATTTCATTGCACAGGTAATAATGACCAGTAAACATCTGCAAGGATTAGAAGTGGATAAGACTTTAGTGAAGGAAAAGCAGGTAGCTCAAGCAAAGGGTCACCTGCAACAGAAACAACGTGCTTTGAGTGATTTGTTTAAAGCACTTGCAAAAATTGGACTGTCATTCCGAAAGGGAATCGTTGAAAGTAAACAGGATAACGTTGATTCTGATTATACAATTAAACCATTGGATTTGACAGCTTTATTAGGACATTTACAAAGGAGTGAAATTGATGTACAGTTATTACAAGCATGGGAATCTGTTGAAATTTACAATAGAAAAGCATTCATGCGTTTAGAAATTTTAGAAAACAATCTAAAAGCCCCTGCTAAAGATTTAGGTATGCAGAATATTGAACGTTGCAAAGGATTTTCACTACATCTTATGAAGATATCATCAGAACAAAACGAAAACTGATTGATTCTGCGAATCAACTTTATTACATCCGCCATATTCAAATGATGGTTGAACAGTTATCACAAGGGAAACTTTTCATCTATAAACAGAAAGTTGATGATTTGAACTCGGTGCTAGTTAACACAGTTCATGCAATAAACGAGATGAAATTGATTTTATCTGCTGTACCAGAAGAAGATATAAACGACGATAAAATGGAATTACCAATCCTGCAGAATTCGAAGTTTATTGATAATAAATATGATTCTCATTGGCAGAGTTTAAGTGATATTCTAGCAGTGGCACTTAAAAATGTTGAGAATGTGTTGAACACTTTACATCAAGCTTCATCGGTGTTTTTCATTCCAACTACAATATCACCAGGAGTTCACGTTAAATTTATTGCGTTTGATAAGTTTGAAGTAATAGATTCTTCATTAAACACTATAACTGAGAGTTTGAAAGATTTTACGAGAAAGTTTGATAATATTGAAATGGTTTCTTCATTAAGGACTTTAGTTGAAGAGATTGAAGATGCAAGGATTTCTTTGCACTCAACTAATGATTCTCCATCGAAAGAATTAAAGGATATTAATAGTTTTAAAAGAAATATTAGGAAAACGGTTGAAGCTACACTTTTCAGTATACAAAATATAGCTGAGAAGTATGTTAATAAGAATATGAATGTCCCACAAGAAGGAGAACAGACAGAGGAATTGCAGGATAATCAACTGAGCGCTTTGGTTATTGAAGAACTGTGCAAAGAAATTGGTTACCTTAACATTCCTAAGATTTGTAAAAAACTAAACGTTGTGTTGGAGACTGTATGCAGTGCTAATTTAACTGGAAAAACAGATTATCAAGATGCATTAGGACTGATATCACCGTTTCTGGATCAACTTGTCAGATTATTTCAATTTTTGATAACTCAACAGGTCAGTTCCTTAAGAGTCTCCTACAAAATGGCGTCGGTGCTTTTAAATATTTTCATTGATTTGGCCACGAAAGGTTTTTGTGTCCCACCTGATTTAGAATCTGAAATGAAAGAAGGCGAATCGAAGGTTACTAGCGGAATGGGTTTGGGTGATGGTGAAGGAGAACGTGACGTATCTGATAAAATTGAATCTGAAGATCAATTGGAGGATGCACAACCAGCTGGACAAGAAAAGCAAAAGGAAGAAGATAAAGACTGCAAAGAGGAGGAGAAGGGTATTGAAATGAGTGAAGATTTTGATAGTAAATTGCAGGATGTTGAAAAGAAGCCTGAAGATGAAGAAAACAGTGATGATGATGATGATGAGACTCAGATGCCGATGAGCAAATGGGAGATACTGATAAGGGTGCTGATCAGTTAGACAAACAAATTTGGGGTTCCGATGATGAAGAACCACCAGAAGATGAAAACGGGGAAGGAAAGGAAGAGGAAAAAGGTGATTCTGGTGAGAAAGTTGGTGAGCAGGAGATGAAAGCAAAGGATGACCAAACATCTCAAGGTCCTGAAGAAAATGATGACAAGGGTAAGGAAGAAAGGGAACAAAAACAAAAGGAGATCAACGAAATGGAAGAACCGGAATTGGATGATGAGCAAAATGATCCTTATCACGGTAATCAACCTGAATTGCCTGAACCGGAAGCGATGGACCTTCCAGATGATCTTCAACTAGATAGTGACGGGGAACAGGAGGAACAAGGAGAAGAAAATCCTTTCGATATTGATGCTATGAAAGAACAGATGCCTGACGACATTCCTGATGATAAAAATGCGATGACACACCAAACGTTGAAGATGATAAGAAGAATCCTCAAGATTCATCTGACGACGAAGGAGAAGAAACCAACAAGGATGAGCAAAAAGATATGGAAACACAAGACACTGAGGAAAATCCAGAAGGCGAAGATAACGACGACAACATAAAGAAAGACACGGAAGTTGACAACAAAGACGATGAAGAAGCAGAGAAAAACAACGAAGAATCAGTGTATGATCAAACACAAAGCCAGGATAATACCGCACAAGCTATGGATGTTGACGAGGCGACAGCAGCTGATAATGTAGAGATGAATCCATCTGAACAGCAGAAAGCAGCTCCTACCGCTGAAGATACATGTCAAGAGGATAATCCTGATAAAGAAGGAGTGGGGCAATCACAAATGGAGAAAAGTAAGACTGGTCATAAGGGTGAAGCTAACGCTCAACAAAATTCACAAAATAAACAACAAGAAATTGAAGAAAAGAAACGCAATCGACCTGGTGAGACAGACTCAGACCGTTGTTTGGGTGATAATACCCAACAAGTCAAGAAAAAGATGAAGACAATTGATTCTAAAAACAACGAGCAACAGGACGATGACGCAGAAGAGGAAAATCCTGAAGATTTAGATGCAGAAATGTACAAACACATTAAAGAAGCCAAAGAATCTAGTACACAAGTAATGGATGCTGTCACACAGGAACAAGCTGAGAAGCTTAAAGAACAACAAGTTCCAAACAAAGAAGAAAATGAGAATTCAGAAGAAGCAACAGAATCCCAAGATAAACTACCAGAAGATAATAATGATCAAAATGAAGAAGAAGATATTAGTAAAATTGATAAAACAAAAGCGGAAAAAATTGAAAATGAAAAGAAACAAAAGCTTGAACAACAAAAAGCACAAGGTAAATATCTCATATTGACTTTTCTTTGTTTTTATATAAATGTTTAATCATTTTAGGTGATATTTTGGAAGAAATGACCGAAATGGAGGTCGAAGGCGACGTGGTTGAAACCCACACTGTTTCAAGAAGCGCCGAAAGCACTTATCACACGCAATATTTAGCTAATGAGACACCAAAGGCTCTTTCAGTACAGGACATGAACCAATTAAGGATTGAAGTGGAGCATCAGCTCTCAGTCTGGCACTCGGTACGCAATTTATCACTTTAATACTTTATTTCTTTTATTTTTAATCATTTTTCTTCATTCTGTTGACAGGCTCCTAATAGTGCAGAAGCAGAACAAGCCTGGGAGAAAATTTCTGCTCTCACATCATCCCTAGCTCAAGAATTATCTGAACAATTGCGTTTAGTTTTAGAACCAACGCAGGCATCGCGTCTTAAAGGTGATTTCCGCACCGGGCGTCGCATAAACATGCGCAAAGTCATTCCGTACATTGCATCACAGTTCCGCAAGGACAAAATATGGCTGCGACGTACGAAACCTTCAAAACGTGAATATCAAATCGTACTTGCTATTGATGATTCCTCAAGCATGGCTGACAATCATTCCAAAGAACTCGCATTTGAAAGTGTTGCGCTTATATCCAAAGCGTTAACACTTTTAGAAAGTGGGCAACTTTCTATTATGAGTTTTGGGGAAAATCCAAAAGTGTTGCATAAATTAACGGACACATTTACAGAAAAATCTGGTAGCAGTTTATTGCAACAGTTCCAGTTTGACCAACAAAAAACATGCGTTGCTAAATTAGTTGACTTTGCAACCGCCATGTTGAACTCCGCACATTCAAATGTTGCTTCTCTTTTAGCCAAATTATTGATTATCGTTAGTGATGGCCGAGGTATTTTCTCAGAAGGTGAAACATACGTTCAGCAAGCAGTGCGACGTGCCAAACTGGATAACATTTTCATGATATTTGTTATTATTGATAATCCGGAGAACAAAAGCAGTATTCTGGATATTAGAAAGGCTGTGTTCCAAGGTGCCAAGATGGAACTCAAGTCTTACATGGATACCTTCCCTTTCCCGTTTTATATTATCCTTCGGGACATTAATACATTACCGCATGTTTTAAGCGATGCCCTTCGGCAATGGTTCGAAATGGTTTCGAATGTTGATCGCGTTTAAAACTCTTAATATTGTTCATGTATGTTTCAATTTACTTAATAATAAAAAATGTTTGCTTTTATATAGCGTGTCAATTATTTACGTTAGTTTTAACTAAGCATTAGACAATTTGTAAAATACAACTCATTGCTAAAAATATAAACACAGCAGATGCGTATAATAGAATATTCAATTTGTTACAACGGATGGCTGACTAATGGCATAACAAATTGACTCGCGCAGATGACGTTTAGCGTAAACATATTTTTGTTGGGCGTCGCTCGTGTCCAACCAACCAGTTTAAAAGTCGGCATTCTCGCGCTCCGTTATTTATAGCCGTTACAACTACCTGTAAGAGAGCTCCCACAAAAAGCTAAATATAAGCACAATTAAATAGATAGGCGT